TAAAATTATTACACCAGACGATTATTAAGAAGATATATATAAACTGAATTCCTGTGAAAAAGTTCAACTATGTAAAAGATGTTCAAACTGGATTACACGTGCGTGATATTTGATTGTGCATCCGCATTTAACATTACTATTGAGGATAATTAGGAAAAATTATCCATCGTGCATAAACTTGTTTTCTTTTGCATATCCACAACTTAATTTTCCAACTATCAATTGTGTGATGCATAAATGTATTAATAGAGTTAGTCTCAAATACATTTTTACATGTGAGAGTTTGAGCTAGTTTATAAAAACAAACTTTGCTCTTTTATTATAAAATTTTTCTACTGGCTTTAGTCGGAGCCATAGTAACATTTGATGGCTAAAAAATTCAAATTTTTGTACATCATTTTACGATAGATAATACCAGCTATGCAATACAACTACAAGCGTCTAGATTAAATTTATTTTTACATATTTAATTGAAGGAATATAATTTGTAGTTTGGCATTGAATTGGACTAAAAAATTCATTTTCATATTAAAAGAACATAGATATGATATCCATATTTTTAGACTTTGGTTCAGTCAGAAAATCATATAAGATGGAAATGTGTTTCCTCACCCACTCCGGCGTAACGCTATGCAAAACTATGCACATCATTTCTGTATTCTTTTTATATTAAAATCAATCTTCTGCTCTCATATCTCTATGCATCGAATTAAATTTCTATGAAGTATTTTTCATAATCATTTCATTTGAATTTCGTGGCAACAAGAATTTATCATGCCATGCTTTGGTTGCGACTATTCAATAATAAGCAATATTTGTATTGACTTTTTTGAATTTTGTCGTTACTTAAGTGTTGATGAAGCACTAATGAAGTAGAGGAATGTGAATACTATCAGTAAAAAAAAGAGATTTGAAGAAATTGATTATTATGTTACCTTTCTTTTTTATTGATTCACACTTCCACACGTACACTTAGGGATTAAATTAATGGTTTTTTATGTCTTTTTTGTGAAGTTTCTAATTCTGTCATACTTTGTGAATATTAATAATTCTTAAGATCTTGATCACGTTTTTTATTCATGCTCATATAGATCTAAAAATATGGAAACAAATTATGTTTCTTTTATTCATACTAATGAGTTTAATAAACCGGATAATATGGAGTTCATGAAGTAAACGAATAAGAATATCATTCAAAATTTTTATACTTTTTCCATAGAAAAAGTTTATCATTGATATTTGTGAAGATAAATCATGACTGGGTGAGTATACAAAGTGCACTACGAAATAGCTACATCTGTAAGAGTCCATCAGGGTCTACCAGATCTTGCTTCACTTGTGTTTATGTTGCTGTTTGCACTCTCACTCAAAAGATACGTTGATGTATGTGCTACTACCTTCACTCTGAGCTTCAAAAATTATATTTACATGTACACGCTGATGTGGCAATATCGTGTCATAGTTCATTTCTCAAATGAAAGATGATCCACATATTGTTGGTCTTCATCTAACTGTAATTGAGTATCTATGAACTTATTTCATTTTTTAGAATCTCATTTATTTCTTTTCTTATCGATTTTTGTCATTTAGAGAATGAAGCGAATATAGACATCTTCATTCGATTTGATTCGATTGGTCTGAATTGAATCTAACTGAATCCAATTATGTACTTATTCAATTTGGCTTCCGCTCTGAAACTTACTAAGCTAGAGTCGGAGAATATCATAGTGTTTTACCATTTTCAAAAGCTCAAATTCATACAAACTCGTAATGAATATAGGATACATCTCTTTTAATGTTTATGTTTCACTCATCATCTTTCGGATTTTTACATCATTTACTCATTACATGATCTCTATTGTATCTCAGTATTCTTTTTTTTTGACTATTTTATTCGATAATTGTCACGTATATTCTACAGTTTTAGATTTAATTTCTTTAGCATATAATGATGGCGTCAACGGTGAGTTTAACTGATCCAGAACTTAATTGAGCTAAGGCTGAAAATGTTTCAGTATTAATATGTGCAAGACAATTTTCACATCACATAGGTGACGATTGAAAAAAAGAATATCAATTTTTTGTGATGAAACTGATGACTAACTCTAAACCATTTCTCACTTTCTTCAACTTTTAAATGAAAATCTACTGATATCAATTGTAATTTCGAGTGGCATCTGAGTGATAGAACCTCTCAGAACAATACTGATACCATAATTGTTATTCATAAAAGAAATACTTCTGACACGTGTTGCTATATTCGAAAATCAATGAATGATAGTCGTCTTACTGTTTTGATATTTTTATTAATGGAATATGTGTTTGAAATAGATATTGAATAAATGCTAGAGATTCTTCAAACTAATCACATGAATAATAATAAGATATTGCTTGATGCTTGATGATTTACTTTCTTTCATAATAAATAATGTAGTAAATAATATTTCATATTATGCAATATTCGAGTACATTGAACAACATTTGAATCTTTTAACAATACATATACTCAGTGATTTCAGATCAAGTATGAAGTATCTATTTCATAAAAAGTTTCTTCATTATAATTGTAGTACTTTAGAAAAATAGATATTCTTTTGAATGTTCCGAGAAAAGTAAGATTGAAATAGAAAATCTACATACATTTTATTCCACTAAAACTAAATATTGATTCGTTGACTACAATCCAGTACTTAAAAATTCTTTTGTTTTTAACCAATTTGATATAGAATCATCAGACTTCAGAAATCTTTGTAAATTCAGATAACATTTTCGAAATATTCCGAGAAATGTAAGAATTTTCCATAGATCAAAAATATTTTTGATATTGCTTTCATATTGTTTTCGTTCCAAACTTACCATAGTTGTTTAGTATCTTTGTTGACAAGGCTAGTCATGTTGGAGATAATTATTTTTTCAATAATGCTTTCCATGAGATAAAATACAATAGAACTTGAAACTGTTTGAATCGGCTAGGCTTTTGAAAATATTATTTCTTGATGAACCAGGAATTCAGAGTTTCCACAGTTTTTCTAATGAAAAAACTCTTGATTTTAGACTTGAAAAACGAAGCAATCATTCTCTTTAAATAATTGTAGCACTTCACATTTCTGTAAACATTCAGCATTACTTTCGCTCATTTTTTTCTTTCAAGAGACAAGAAGAGATTATATTATTTCGTATTCTATCGATCACAACACTCCTAAGTGGAGCCAGCCCACTCGAGAACAAAATATCCTGGTGTTGTTACTATAAGTATGGAAAGCAAAACGTAGAGAAAACTGATTTCTTCCTTTTTTTTCCACAATAAAACCAAACAAAAATGAAGATAATTATTGAATGTCTTACGGCATTTACTGCTTGTGAGCATATTTTGCTGAAGTGATGTAGTTTTCAAGCTGTGATTTTGAGTGTATAGAGAAGATCTCCAAACTGGAAGAATCTCAATGAGATTCAGATCCATAGATCTTATATGAAGAGTTATGACAGTTTTGTTGGATTTTGACCAAATGTTGGAGTATTGATAAAAAAATAAAACAAAAGATTTTTCTATCTTACAATGTTTCTATAAGTAGCTTTCATGATTGGAGGAGTATCCTTAAAATTTGAGTCACAAGAATCTCGCTGTTCTTGACATATATTTAATGTTAAAAGACTAATTAGATTTCTAGAACACTGAGGTAAATTGAGAATTTTTCAATATTAATTATTTTTAAAAAAGAAATAATTACTCTGACTATAGTCTTGAGAATATTTTAGAATAATAAGCGTTATCCAAAAGTAAAGTTTTAATGTCGATCAAGATTTTGCTTTATTTTCCTTGCAAGACTTTATTGTATACTAAAAATTTAGTAAATCTGTGGTAACTTTGTACAGATGGTCTATGGAAGCAAATCTTTTATATGTTATTCTAATCTGGATTTTCGCTCTATATGTCTAAAATATGAGTGCAAAAGTGACAAACCAGTTCGAGTAGTCCTCTCGTTAGTTTGTTTTGTTTATATTTTCAGTAGACAGAAATTATAAAATTTTAAATTAGACTGCACATGTTCATTTATATAATGAAAAATTACAATTTCATAATTTTCTTGTAGTCTTCTAGAAAATAATCTTTTAGAAAAGTCAAGATAATGTGACAGTACATCTTTTAGAAAAAATATTCGAATTTTTATGACCTATCAGTGCAGAGAAATATGCAAAATGAACTAAGTTGGAAACATATAAGCCTATTAGATAAGAAAGATCGATTATTTTTATATATGATCCTTTCATTTTAATCAGAAAAAACAATTTTCAAGAAGAAGAGAGAAATGTCTGAAAAATATGGCGTTTCCACATTCTTCTATATCAATTCTTCAACATAACTTCTCAAAATTGTATAAAACGAAATAAAATACTATACATCATACCATTAAATATTGATTATATGTAAAAAATCATAAATAGTAATTGATGAAAAGTAGTGTTAAAAAAACAAACAATAGCAAAAAATAAAATATATTCTTTTATCATTATCCATTTCGTATTTTTCCGATCGTCTTGCTTAATTGAGGAAAAATAATTAAATCATGTTTGAATTCTAATCAAATTATCAAAAAAGACTCGTTATCTACTTTGAAAGAACAGTCTTATCAAAATATAATATTATAAAACACTTCGTAACTAAACAAAGATTCTTCATCCTATTTAAAAAGTAAATGTTTCAGATTTTGTGAACATAACAATCACTTTGTTTTTGTTAATCTTGAATATTATTAATGTTTTTTCATTAGTGTACGTATAATGTGATTATTTATGTTATTCTATTCGTCTTTTGTATCCTTTTTTTGTTACCTGCTAAATTAGTAAGAAAACAAATTTCTAATTATTAGTAAATTAAGTCTACCAACTATGTTTAAGTTCGACAGAAATTCTTATAGGATTATTTTCTTTTTACAAATTATTCTTTCATACAAATATTCTTTCAAATATAAGTAAAAATATTTAAGAAAGAATTAAAGCTATCATGTTATTTCCATTACACTGATTTTGACTGGAACTCCACATGCATTTGTTGTAGTTTTCTGATGCTCAAGATGATGACCATCAGTTGTACCACCAATTACTGGTATAATTCGATTTTTTGGACCAATTACTGAGCGAAAAAATTTGATTGATTCTTTTCGAAATGTACGAGATGTAAGTGTATATAAATAAAATGATGTAACTGGAAACAAATATAACATCAATTCCGCTAGAAAATTAAGAAATGATTCAACAGCTAAGTGTTCATTTGATCGATCAGGACTCATTATTGAGATTGTATTAAATACTAAATTACATAATTGAGGAGTTGTAAATATAATATAACAAATAATTTGCATGAATAATATATTAAGAACTTGTTGATCAAGTGGATTTCGTTGATAATCACCTAACGATAATTGTGCTCGTCTTTGATGTTTATGTGCAAGATTTCGACGAATAAAATATGCACATATTATCATAATCATAGCTGGAAATATTCCACCTCCAATAATAACATAAAGACTATGATAAAGTGCTGCTGCCATATTATTTATAATACCACAGTGACTTCCTTTGATCTCATAAAATATAAGTCTATGAGAACAAATAATTGACCAAAAAATAATAATGATAATAATTATACGATACGCTATTTTCGGTTTAGAAAAATTTCTTAACGTAATTTTATCTGAAGTTAATGCAAAACGATCAATACAAGCAAAAGCAACGAACCAACGAGAAAGCATTAAACATATTTGAAATATATAACCACGAAGTTTACAAAATAAAAGTGATTGTATTTGTGGATCAGGATTATTGAGAGTATACAAAACTGGTCCAATACCAATAATTAATGTCATTAAATGATCTACAGATGCTGCAAAAAAGTCTAGACAAAAAAAACAATATGTAGTAGAAAACTAGTACTACAATTCATGAAATATCAAAATATGTTTCAGAGAAGAAGCTATCATATCATAGAATCAATTCTAATATTGATACTTACAAATACAACAAGAAGTTGTTCGTAATTGTGGACGAGAGAAAACGATGAGATTGAGTAAACATCCAATGATGCCAAATATAAGCCATATTGGATAAATGTATAGAGTTAGAGTTCTTTGGACAATAGGAAGTGTATTAATCAAAGATGAAGATGATGACATTGTTATATAATATAAGTATCTATAGAAGAGAAATACAAATAATAAGTTATGATGAAAATAGTAGTTGAATTATAATCAATAATTTGTGATATTTGCCTTTCGAATGTGTAAGAAATGAAAATCGTTAGTATAAAAGTTTTATTTGATTTGGAGCAAGAAATGCTTTTTTGAGAATACTGAAACAACAGGTGCTGGAAAAGAGCAAGAAATTATCGATGTAATGAGCGTATTTTAATCATATATGACAGATCTCATTAGTATGAAACACTTCTCTCAAACCGTTCTTTGCTTTTCTGAGCTATATTTTTACTTCGTCATACTAGTTTTTTTTCTCTCAACTGTCATAACCATACTCCTGGAGTGTTTCATCTGTTACATCACTCGTTGTTCATTACTATTGTCAGTCTCTATGATCTTAATTTCACTTGCATTCATAGGCGCATTCGTTTTATTTGTCAAACTTTTTTTTTCGAGCGGCATAAGAATGTCAAACAGTTATAAGCTAATTGCTCAAGACTGGCTAATCGTTCTTGAAAATCTTGCGATGAGATCATCCTAATGAACAAAGGTTTATCAAAATAAAACAATTAGAATTTTTTTTTTCTGACAGAGAATCATATGTAGATCAGTCCAAAAGTAGTGAGAGCGACGCTTTAATGCCTTATAGTAAGCTGAAGGAGAGTTTCTTTTCGTATAAAACGATAGAGAAAAAAAATGCTCTATTTTTCTATGCTATTTGATTATACTTTAGTTAATATTATGATAGAAAAGTTTTCATAAGACTCGTTTCTATATGATATGCTTTGGTTACGACACTACATAAAGGGTGTTTCATAATAACGGAGGATACTTTGTATTGATATCTTTTATATTTTTGTCGGATGTAGACGGTTGTAACTTTTATCACATAGATATCTGATCATGGTCTTTTATTTCTGAAAGTTTCAGCTCTCTAGCTGTTACTAATGTAAAATACATCGATAAGATTGAAATACATAATTTTTCGTATTCGACATATCGTTTACTTTCCACTATGAAAAATGAGGCAAAAATCGAGTACGACAAATTAAGTATTTCAATCTTATCGATATATTTTATCATTAGTAGTAGCTAAAGACCTAAAACTTTCAGAAATAAAAGCTTATAGTTAAGTATATATTTGGTAAAAATTTCAACCCTCTACATTTGATAAGACTATGGAAAATATCACTAATAAATTTATCCTCAGTTGTCAAAAAAACACGTTTTAGGTGTTTCAATCTTATCAATGTATTTTATCATTAGTAGCAGTTAGAAAGCTGAAACTTTCAGAAATAAAAGACCATGATCAGATATATATGTGATAAAAGTTACAGCCCTCTACATCCGACAAAAATATGAAAAATATCAATACAAACTATCCTCTGTTATTATGAAACACCCTTTATGTACTGTCGTAACCAAAACACATCATACAGAAACGAATCTTATGAAAACTTTTCTATCATACTATTAACTAAAGTATGATCAAATAGCATAGGAAGATGGAGCATTTTTTTTCTCTATCGTTTCATACGAAAAGAAACTCTCCTTCAGCTTACTATAAGGCATTAAAGCGTCACTCTCACTACATTTGGACTGACCTAAGTAGTTTCCTTTCTATTTTTTGAAAAAAAAATTATATGAACGATACATCTTCTAAACAACTGGTAATGTTTTTAGAAAATGAAAGAACAGACACCTAAGGTAATACTAAAGAATGGATAATCAAATAAAGTCACCTTGTCTGGAAATGAGAACGTTGAATATAAATTTTTGAACTAAAAAGATGCTTCCTGTATTGTGAAGAGAAGATACTGATTGTGAAAATAAATGTTTTGATTTACTTTCTATGAACTTACTGATTATGATTCTTTTATTTGTTTGTTTGGTTGTTTTTTCTAATTTATATATGCGTTTTTTCAAAGAATTCATTGAATGAATAATGTATTAGTGAATCATAGAATAATCGATTTTCTTCGTTTTATTTTCATCAGATATTCGACTAATGTTAACCAAAAAGAAACTTTTTTTTATGATATATACGAACATTTTCATGCAAGACTTTTCAACGTGAAAGAAATCTTTCCAAAAATATTCCTACCAAATACAAATGTATTCATGCATAATTTTCATTAATACCAAACATTTACACGTTCAAAACATTACATTACTAGTCAAGAGAAATATATGTAAAAAGATTATTTTCTAAATATGCTCACATGACATAAAGGCAATATCCTACTTGATGAATTGAAAAATTTATTAGAAATATTTCCAAACACATTATAAAAATAAACTAATGTCTTTACAAGTATTTTCTTTTTCAATATCATGCATCCTATATTTCAACATGTAACAGTTTCTATTCTTTTCATATGAAAAGTGAACATATTCCAATATACTCTGTAAAAATACATTATCTTATAGAGAGAAAGTATAGAAACAATAATGAAATTAAATAAAGTACGGTCTATAAATAATAATACCATAAAAGATTAAAATATCTCCACTTTGAAATACAGGTGAATGCGTATGAGTCAGTTGAGTCAATAATTAGGACACGTTGTTTCTTCATCTTTTCTCTGTTCAATTATATGAGAGCATTCAGTCACCGTCCGACTATACACTGCGACTTCATGAATAATAATAGATGTCTATTCACTCTGGAACTTTTTAAGGCCTCCTCCTCAAAAATTGATTTTAGGACCACGTACATTCAAATCGCGTGAAACTTTCAGGATATGTTGGGTCTGAAGTGGAGAGTCTGTAGCATGATATTTGACAGAGATATGAACCAAACAAGGGTCAAAAATAGCTCATTTGGCAACCCATTTTTCTCTGTTCGGGTTCATTCAATATATTTAAATTCTTTTTTATTTGAAAGAACGTCTCAAGATGCAGTGTCTACCAGAGTTCGTTTTTTTAAATTCTTATTTTTTAAGCGGAAGAAAGGGATCAAAAGTTTAATCATTCCAAAAATCCTCGAAAAATGGGCGCCAAGTTAGATAAGTGTTTGTATATATAATAAAAACCAGGCTTAATTTATAAAAAATGACTGTGGTTGGCACTGTATCTTGGCATACTATTTCAAACAAACACAAAAAAATATAAATATATTGAAAAAGCCTGGACAGAAAAATTTGGGTTACGCGGTCAAGAAAGCATAAACTGAGAAAAAACGAAAAACATTTTTAGTTTTATCTGAAACACGCATATTTTTCAACGGAAATCATCAAAAATTTTGGCCAAAGCAAAGATGTCGAGTGAAAAATTATATAATTTCTGAAAAATCTGAAGACGGGCTATCTTCCCATGCATTTTTCTCAATTTTAAAATTTTTGGCGAAAATTGACTCTTTTTGAGGGGAATGTGGCCTTAACTCTTTGGTTACGGCGTGTTTTTGTTCGCCAGCAAGAAGCCCTTTGTTTTTTGTAAAAAAAAAGCTTGAAACAAGACGTATGTACTCATGATCATAGTAGGCAATGACATCATGATTTTGGTAATGCGAGAGTACTTTTATAGCCGCACTAACCAGTAGAGTCCGACAATGTAATTCTACATAATCGTACTATATGATGACTTAGGATGCAACTAGAATAGAGTAGACTAGATTATCACACGACTATTGATGTAATCACAACGCTAGCTTTTCAGATAATACCTTGGGAATGAAGTGCTTTGCCTTAAAAGTAAACACTTTCTATTTTATGACCGCTATAGAGTAGGTTAGAGAGCATGGTCAATAAAAAGATCATCAGGTGGGATAAAGTATAAAAAGTCGTAGTCTTGCAGAACTCTACTAAAGGAAGAAAGCTATAATTGTAACAGAAGTAGTTCAAGCAAAGTTCAAACCGTATATATACGGACGCCCTAACTCAAGGGTTAAACGTGTTCTTTATTTAGTCTTTTCTCATTTTTCACTCCTCCTTCTCTCGTATATAAGCCTATATTCTCTATGAAATAGACACGACTGTAGTGATGGAGTAGTATAGTGAATATTTATATCGAGGATGGTGGTAACACGACTCCTCCTGTTTGTCATTGTTGATCATAATACAATATGCAGTGTATTAGTAAAGACATAAACGATCATCCCTCTCTAACTTTCATTACACCAGTTTCGGCTGAAAACAAGCAGATGTCACCAAACCAACACAAAGATATTTCAGCTCGGAATACTGCTTTCACGTTCCCCTCGATTTGCAGCGTTTTTCGGTCGAACATAATAATTTTTCTGTATTTCTCCGACTAACACCAACGAAATCCGTGTGTTTTCGAAGGTCGGAATCATCGGATGATCTATACTCAAATAGGCTAATATTTTGATGAGCGATAGATGTTCATTCAAAGTTTTTTTTTCTATGCGATGAATACCAGCAAATACTACAATTAAGTATGATTGTTGAGCGTATTAGTAAAATTACAGCCGTCATCAAGTACGAAAAAAATATGTGTGGCACTCCATGACCAAGATTACAATCTTTGTTAACTGTCGTAAAGAATTGTGTAGGACTGTATACATTTGTATTTTCCAACGTATATGGTCGTATTTCATCGTGATACTTAAGCTCAGAATTACAATGGCATCTTTTCATGTTATATGAAACTAAATACGTAGTATATACGACTAGCGTGAACGTCCGTACATAGTTGTGTACAATACAGTAAGCTTTGTATTCATATAAGCTTTATCTCAATCAATAGAAGGGATACTTTCTGTTTCTGCTACCACCCCGTCAGTCCATACATACACAAAAGGTTAGTTATTTATTAGGAATGAATAGTTATGACTACATCTGTTGTTTATATTAATCTGAATAAGAAGTAAAATTATTTATTGAAAATGAATGCTACTTAATCGGCTGTTTCCACTAATATAAATAAAGAAATAAACTTTATTTTCCAAAAGAAATACATACTATTGAATTCGTTGTTGCGTTCAAAAAGCAAAACGCTAAGTATTTCATAAGTATAACAGAACTCACGACTAACTTACGACTACGTATGATCATGCATGACAGTTGTTTACACTCACTGAACACGTTATTCGTATTTGAATGTATGGTGTCCAATACATTCATGATATACGATGTTCGTATACAACGACCCTTTTTTTCACATATTTCGCAATGCGCGGGTGTCTATGATTGTGCTTTTACTACCTGGTACTTCAAGATAGTTTTCAGTTGTCATTTAAACGAATGAAAGAATAAATTAAAACAAACTTTATCAATGATATTACCTTGATGGAAAAAATCGTGTTCTATGCTTAGAAATCTAAAATATCCTAAACTTTGACATTTGCACTAACTAAAGTGAAAATTTTCTCTATGCACATCAGTATAGTCTCATTCATAAAGTTTATTGTGACTTCTTCTTTTCATTGTCTTAGATGAAAACTGAAAATTATCTTTGTTGACTACACATGTACTTTTCTTACTTCACAACCGCTAAAATTTCTTCAGTCAGCTCACAGATTGTACTTCGGAGCAGTGTTTGTTTGCATTATTTCCATAAAAAAACTTGAGTAAACTTCTATGAGTAACCAAACAATCAGTTCCTTTGAATGGATCCAAATGGAGAAATTCAATTTTTCATCGTAATATTATCACCGACACAGTAAAACACTATTTCATTCCTATATGTAAATGAACTTTCACCATAATTGTTATATCTAAAAAGTATTTCAAAAATGTATCTAACCTAAATTTCAATACTTTGAAGTACAAATCAAAACATTTATCTCTCTGATATAATTCTTGTCTTTACATGACTATTTTATTCTTCAAGTAAAATTCAGTTAATAACAATGGTGTTTTTCACTTATTATTGATTCGTTAGTTCTATAGATGCATTTATAGTTGTTCCATTATTTCCCATACGATGTCGAGAAATCGAAGTACCTGCTATTGGTACGATTCGATTCCCTCCACAAGACACCAATAATAAACAAAAAAAATCAATTAATTCTTTACGAAATCTACGAGATGTAAGTGTATATAAATAAAATGATGTAACTGGAAACAAATAAAGCATTAATTCTGCTAAAAATGCAATAAATATTTCAATAATTAAATGTTCATTTGATCGGTTAGGAATTGTTATTGAGATTGTATTAAATACTAAATTACATAATTGAGGAATTGTAAATATAATATAACATACAACTTGAACGAATAATATCTTAAGAACTTGTTGATCAAGTCGATTTCGTTGATAATCACCTAATGATAGTTGT